GTTTTCTGGATTTGACCGTACGCCAGGTTTCAGTAAGAAATCCACACAAGTCTTTGTACATGAGGCCCCAGGAGTTAGTGGTCATCAGTTAGCATTAGCATCCACTAATTTTCTTACCTGTTTAGAGGTTTAGCTATTTTTTTAGTTAGTGAATTTGTGGTTAGTGAAGCCAACATTTTGGTTAGCTGTGCCCACCACTGGTGATAAGCACGCCTAGGAGTGTCCTGATAATAGTTTTTCTGAAACTCAGTTTAAATAGTCCTACAAGTACTTAAGTTTGGGTCCTCACCGATACCAAGTACTTACTGAGTTAGTTGCCAGAGTTAGCTAAAAAGCAAATCTACTAAACAAAAATTTAGTAACCCTATTAGCTGTCAGCTGATTAGTGAAACCTTGTCTATCTTTGTCCATTTTACAGATATTCTGCAGAGCTAAAACCTGACGTTTGTAACTTGGAGTCCAACTTATTTTTCAAGAAGTACCTGACTGTAAATTCAGATCTTAAAGCTGTTGTACAACTTTGAATGCTAGGATGTCTATGTTGTACGAGTTGATGCTTTTGGACCCCGGTGCTCTGGCTCCAGGATTATGTTGAATTTACAAACCTTGAGTTCCTCRACAGCCTTGCGTAGTTCTTCAGGGGTCTTGTACGTAAAGTCTCTCTCCAGATAATCTTCTTCTGCCTGGTTGATCCATTCCTGCATCTCCTGCATCTCCTTCCTCAACGCCATGGTCTTATCGAGGCCTCCTTTCAGAGCTGACTTTTTTGCGTAGGCCTACACAGAGGAGGAAAGTGAATATTAGAACTCTTACATTTATCACCAGCACAGGATTAATATTACGTTTTTGACAAGTCAACACCTGCCCTGGCAATTATTTATGTAAACATGTTTGAGTTTTCCTTTAAACGCAGCATATTGTGGACAAGATGTAGACAARGACACGTAAACATAATTAGCTGAATAAAGTTGTGCATAACTAGAACAATGGTAGTTTTAGTGGTGCTGGTAGGCGTCACCAACTGAAGAGTTTGGAGGGAGCGTGTTTTCAGGGATCACKTTTATCATCTGGGACCTGATGATGCCTGACTTATTATCTGATTTCATTTTTCAGTCTTTTGGAAGTCTTGGCTGAACTGGTTCCAACATTACAGAACTGAGAGGAGCCATGGGCTGCTAGTGGCAGTTCAAGTCTGCAATTGGAGCCTTTCAGGTGAAGCTGACTGACAGATCAGGTATTTCAAGGATTGCAGGTCAAATGTGGCCTGCTACAGTGTTTTATGTGGCACGCGGGAACTTCAAACGTATAAATAGGCTGATTTAAAGCCAGATTCATCTCCCATGATGCATGTCGATTATTTTACCTGTGAAACGACAGCATCCCACCACAAGGTGGAGGTGCACAGGGTTCGAGAGTAGCTGGCAGCTGACAAAATTTGCAGTGTAAAACCTCAATTTTACTGTTTTTTTTAATGGCTACTTTTGCTGCAGTTGGGAATTTCCCACGTACAAGTTGTAAATTTAGACTGGAACAAGTGGGAGTGCCCTGCTGGAAGGTAAGAGAGGTCAGAATTCGAGACAGAAGCTACTCACCACAACTCAATGAGTAAAATTCTCTTTTTACTTTTAATAGCATTTCTGTTTAATTTATTTCACATTTCGTCAGTAGAACATGTAGTACATTACAATGTTTATAAGAGAACGTGTTAAAACATTGTTTCTATGCAGGAAATACCACGTAGAGCTCAGTTATTGTTTGTTATTGGTGCTCAGCTGTAGCTTTGAGACAAGAAACGTGACATTTTAGTTGGAGTATCTAAGTTAATTATAACTAGCTCTTGGAGGACCACCATGACCCTCGCGTGGTTCTTGGTGAAAACTGGTTTGACACCCCTGATCTACACCATGGCTGAAACAATCCACTAATGCCCAGAGACTCTTTTCTTGACATCAACTCATTTAATTATAAATAAGTTCTATCAAACTCCTGAGTAGGGCTGCAACTAACGATTATTTTAATAATCGATTA